AGAGAGAGACTGAAACCATTCTCTTTCTGAACAAGAACCTGACAAGGATGCCCCTCCATGACCATTTCTATTTAATGTTGTATTGGAAGTCCTAGCCAGAGCAATAATGCAAGAACAGGAAATAAAAAGCATCCAAATTGGTAAAGAAGAAGTAAAACTATGTCTGTCTGCTATATGATCCTATACCTAGAAAATCTGAGAGACTGGGCAAGAAATTACTGGAACTAATTGAAAGATTCAGCAAAGTGGCAGGATAGAAGGGAAAAAAAAATTGGAAGAAAATACCGTGATCTTGGATAGGAAGACATTGTGAAAATGTCAATACTACCCAAAATAATCTACAGACATAATGCAATCCCAATCTAGATTCCATCATCATTCTTTAAAGAGACGGAAAAACTTATCACAAATTTTATATTGAAAAGAAAAAGACCCCAGATAAACAAAGCACTACTAAAGAAGAACAAAATAGGAGCTCTCAAACTTTCTGAATTCAAAATCTACTACACAGCCATGGTAATCAAAATAGCCTAGTACTGGGTAGGAGGGAGGGAGGAAAGGGGAAGCTTTTGTTTGCAGGGCATTGAGTTTATATTAATGGTGGTAGAATATTTTGGAAAAGTATAGCAATAATGGTGGCACAACATGAAAAATGTCATCAATGTCCTTGAGCTGTAAATGTAGAAGTTGTTATGTTGGTGAATGTCTTGTTGTATATGTTTTCACCACAATAAAAGTAAAAAAATACAAAAAAGACGACATACCCTGGTAAAAATTAAAAATATAATGCAATCTAACAAGCATTCAAGAAGAAAAAAGGAAGCCAAAATGGGGGGTGGCGGTGTTGGTGTGTGTGAAACCCATGTGACCCCAGACTATACAGTGACTATAATGCTGCTGTGGCTGTGGAGAGATTTGAACACTCATGCACTTCCACTGGGATTGTAAAATGGAACAACCACTATGGTGCTTCCTTAAATAATTAGCAACAGAAATATTGTATGATCCAGCAATCCTACTACTAGGTTTATATACTACAGAAATAAGAGCCATGACACAAATAGATATATGTACATCCATGTTCATTGCAAGGATTGTGAGGCTGGCACAGGATCAGGCAGTATTTCATTCTGTTGTGCATACGGTTCCTATAAGTTGGAGTTGACTCGACAGCACCTAACAGCAACAACAACATGTTCATTGCAGCACTATTCACAACAGCAAAAATTTGGAAACAAACTAAATGCCCATCAATGGATGAACAGATAACAAATCTGTTACATACACACATACCATGCAACATTGAAGTGTATGATGAATCTGCAAAACATCTCCTAACATGATGAACCTGGAGGATATTATGCTGAGTGAAATTAGTCAATCACAAAAAGACAAATATTGTATGAGACCACTATTATAAAAAAAATCAAGAAAAGGTTTTCATATAAAAAGAAAGATTCTTTGATGGTTACCAGGGGTGGGAGAGGAATGGAGGGTAAACCACTAACTAGAGGATAGATACATATTAACATAGGTGAAAGGGAAGATAATATACAATAAGGAGGGGGTCAGTAAAAAATTATCAAGGCAAAGGAACACATTGGGAGGAGTACAAGAGTTAGAGGTCACAGAAGTACACACTATCACATACAGCATCTCGCAACAACAATAATCTATAAGTGGATATATAGACAGACTTGGAAGCTTAAAATGTGTGAGAAAGAGAATGGGACTATACCCAGGAATATATATAGGTTTGACAGTGGCTATTTCTACATAGTATTTACATAAGCAGCAAATATATCCATGAATATAGCAGAACACTTCTTAGCCATACCCAAGAACCTTGAGGGAATAAGTCTCTGAGCCTGGGGTCTCAGGACCACGGTCTTGGAGGACATCAAGTTCGATCAGCACAACATAGTATGCAAAGAAAATGTTCTACACCTACTTTGGTAAATAGCATCTGAGGCCTTAAAAGCTTGCAAGTGACCCTCTAAAATGCAATTATTCCTCCATGTCTAGAGCAAACAAGAGTGAACAAAATCAAAGACACATGGAAACAATTAGTCCAAAGGAATTATGGACCATGCAAACCTCAGTTTCCATGACTCTGAGGTCAGAAGAACTAGGTGGTGCCTGGCTATAACTACTTACTGCTCTGAAAACAATCACATTAGAAGATTCTGGATAGAGTAGGAGAAAAATTTGGAACAAAACTCAAAATCATAAAAAAGACCAGGTTTACTGGTTGAATAGAGGCTGGTAGAAGCCCTGACACTGGCCCTTAGTCATCCTTCAGAATTAGAACTGAACTAACTATCATGACTTACATTTTTTAGCCAAAAAACAGACAGATCTACGAGGTGAACAATAATACTAAAGAGTTACACATTCCTTAAAACAATCAACCATTCAAGATCAAAAGGGCAGCATTTGTCTAAGGACCAAGTTCAAAAGTTAGAAAGGGATAGGAGAGAAGGAGGAATGGAAACAAGAAACACAGGGAGGAAGTGAGATGAGCGATGTTACAGTGAGGAGACTGCAATAAAAGACAAGAAACACAATGTGTATAAATTGTTGAATGGGAATGGGAAACTGATTTGCTCTGTAAACTTTTACCCAAATCACAATAAAAGATTTAAAAAAAAGATAAATGAAATAAAGTATAATTATTAATGTTTATGCAATTCATGTGTGTGTCATTTTTTTTTTTCTTTTTTGCCAACTGTGCTTTCCCTCTGACATGACATACATATATCACATGCAGACAGCCAAAGAAGGCAGGACTTTCCTCCAAAGCTAAAAGAAAGAAAAAATCTTCCCCTAGAGCTGGTGTTCTGAATTTGGATGTTAAGCCTCTAAAGTGTGAGAAAAAAATTTTTGGTCTTTAAAGTCACGTAACAAAATTAGTAGTCAAATAATGCCTTAGGTACTATGCCACCAGACCTCCCTTAAAGTCATCTGTTGTTGTCGTTATGTGCCATCAAGTCGCACCCAACTCATAGTGACCCTTCCTTGGGTTTCCAAGGTGGTATCACTATGGAAGTAGATTGCCCAACCTTCCTTCTGAGGAGTGGCTGGGGGCTTTGAACCGCCAGCCTTCTGGTTAGCAGTCAAATGCCTTAGGCACGATGCTACCAGAGCTCCTTAAAGTCACCTACTTGTGGTTATTTCTGTTATAGCAAACTAAGAAACTAAGAAAGGGCCTGTGACTGAAGATCACATCTACAGGGCTTTGAATTGCTTTGAACCAGTTCAGTGATGGTCAATGAAAGCAAACCAGAACAGACTTGAATTTTTAAAAATAAGAGTAATCCAGAATAATAACCGGAATGGGGAAAAGTACAGGGTGAAGCCCTAGAATGGGATACTTGGAAGGCACATAGTGAGTCTTTTCAGAAGCCTGATGTATGAAATTGAATTACTGGCAGGACTGTGGAGAGCAACATACATTCAAAACAGCAAGGTCCGCCACCATCTTTAGTAGGATACCACTGTTTCCAACTCAGCTCAAAATCCCATGGGCAAGAGATTTGGTTGCTATGCAATGCATATGCTCCCCTTATTTCTTAAGCAAGAGATTAATTTTCTAGCAGGGCTTTGATCCATAATTTTCCCCATTTGGTTATTGTTCCAGTTTACCCAAATTTTAGAAAGTCAGGTCTGTTCTGGTTTCTCTGCCTCAGCCATGAGTGAACTGGAAAGAACTAATTCAATCCCTGCATGTCTCTTCATTCTTACTAACTCCTCTTGGCCCTGTAGCCATGTTAGCTTCTCTGGAAAGCCCCTGTAGAATTTACCTGGGATGATGGAGCCGAGGTAGTAGGCTCAGTGACCTGGATGTGCTGCACCTGGATGGCATGCTGGGTGTATGTCTGAGGGTCATGGAGCTGGCCAACATCCACAGTGGACTGCTGAGACTGGTGAGGTGAAGTGGCCTGGAGGGAAAAACAGGTCCAGAAACCAAATCCACATTGATTGAGGCTAATCAATGTGAATTTTTCCATTCAGAGAAAAGGTTCAGTTAAAAACAATACCCCAACAGAAATATAAGAATAGCTGGAACTTCATATCTATTTCTTCACTCCCAGAGAGCTCATGAATAAGCCAACCTAGCATATAGTCAAATAATGTTTTAATATGATGGCTTATGAAACACAGTAAGCCATTAGTACAACTAAATTCTGAAAGAGAAGGAGATAAAGGAAATATAGCTCCTAATAATAAGCTGAGTGAGAAACTCCCAGAAATAAAAAATGCTTTATTTTTAAATTCCAATTGACTAATGACCTACGTTTTATCAATTAAAAGAGATCAGAGAAGAGAATTTGCTTTTAGCTTGTCACTATTAACCCTAGTAGTGGTCCTAGTAATGGTTCCTAACCGTTTATGTATCATAGACATCTATGAAAATCTAACTAAGTTATGGGCCTTTTTTCCAGAAAGTATACATGTATATTTTACAGGCAACTTCAGGGATCATAAACTCCTCCAAACCTTAAAGTTAAGAACCCTTCCATAAGAAAGACAAAATAAAGAAGAGCAAGTAAAACAACAGTTACAATTTCTAATTTCCTGATCTGGTATTAAATTTTCAGAGACCAAATTATTTCCAAGCAACAAGTTTGTTCATTTGTGCCTTGAGTATATACTTCTCAGCTTAATTTAATGAAACAACAGTTCTGGGAGGATTCCTTCTTTCATTGCCTAGTCAGTAAGAATGAGCTACTAATTATCAGGTAAAAGGTACATAGTTAATACCTCTATACTAACAGGGTACTGACTAATCACAGATTGAATCGAAATGATTCCTTACAACTTCCTACGCATATGTCATTCAATGCCCAGACAGGGATTTATCATACTGGCTCATCACCATGTAATAGCTGACCTGGGGCTAAAGAATAAGGATTCATAAGACATTCTGACTGTCTGAGCTCAGAAAGAAGTCCTTCTAGCACTGTCTTGCAATCACACAGGATAGCTATATAAATTGGAGCCTGAAATCTCTTGAATACTATAGACAGAAACAGCCAACACTATTAAGTCCAGAGCCCTCAACATACCAAAAGAAAAAAAAAATTAAACCAATGCTTTAAACTCAGAACTTAAACGCAGAGCACGTTATGTAAGGTCCAGCACCAGCTCTGAGAACTGAGTATTTTTGTGGACTCTGGCTGCCATAATAGTCATGGCAATATGTCACTGATACAGGTAAAGAGAAATAGATATCATACCGGGGCCATCTGTACCACCTGAAGCTGTATGTGCTGAGGCTGTTGAAGACCAGAGGTAGACTGCGACACAGGGATATACTGAATTCTCTGGTAATCCCCTTGTGGGGTCCGGTAATCTGTTGTTAAGGTCTGGGACAGTTCTGTCATTGCTTGGGTTAGCAGGTCGGTTGTCTAGAAAAATCACACAAAACATGCAAATCGGTAGCTATTTCAATGTTCTGAAATCCTACTAAAATTTAATTAAGTTTGTCTTACTGGTATATTACTGAGCTACAGATCAGACCCAAAACCAGAGAGGAAAAAAAGGAATCTGAGGTTGGGAAGGTGTTAGAAGGAAAAAAAAAAAGAAAATAATAGATAGACAGATAGATAGATAGATATAAACCCATTGCCATTAAATCAATTCCAACTCATAGTGACCCCACAAGATAGCATAGGAATGACACATGATAGCATAGGAACTGTATATGATAGCATAGGAACTACACGTGATAGCATAGGAACTACTCCATAGGTGGGCGCTCTGGTGGTATAGTGCCTAAGGCATTTGACTGCTAACCAGAAGGCTGGCAGTTCAAACCCACCAGCCACTCCTCAGAAGGAAGACTAGGTAATTTACTTCCATAGAGGTACCGTCTCGGGCACACAAGGAGGGGTTGCTAGGAGTCAAATCAAATTGATGGCAGTGAATTTGGTTTTGGTTTCAGTTTATTCCATAGGTTTCCTTGACTATAATCTTAATGGAAAAAGATTGTCAGGCCTTTCTTCTACATCACCACAGGGTGGGTTTGAACCACCAACTTTAGGTTAGTAGATGAGTACAACCTGTTTGTACCACCCACAGACTGTCTGTCTCTGCCCAATGGAGTTACCCTTCAGATAATGACAATCTTGCAGTGAAGAAGCAGCACATTTCAGTTGTTGTTGCTCTTTGCACAGAGCATTTTAGAAAGCATCAACTAGGAGACCTAATCATAAGCATAATGCCTATGTAGAAAACTGAAGGATAATGGGCTACATTTGCAGGTTTGAGGAAGATAACAACAAGGTGGACAGGCTGGGCACTGGAGAAAACGGGAGGCACCTACTCATCACACACTCACCACCACAGTCTCCCCAGTGGCACTATCTGTAGTTAAGACAGCGGGGGCAGTACTGATCACAGCTGTGGTCAAGGGCGCATGTATAGTGTTAGGAAGCTGGGCATACTCTGGATGTTTCTTTCGAATATGCTGTACCATCTTGGTCTGAAAAAAATTAAGGAGAAAACCAAGAATAGAATTAGTTTTCAATCTTTGTCATATGCAAACTCTCCAAAGATTCCTAAAGTCTTTTACGTTATGCCTTAAAAAAGAAAAAAGAGAATAATGCTGATTCTGTGCCTGGCCTTCTTAAAGTGGTGCAATGCTATGAAAGGGAAAAAAGGAAAAGGACTAAAAAGATAATGATAATGACCATGACCCCCCATTATCAGGCAAGGTAAGAATACCTCCCAGGACTTCTCTACTCTCACTGATAGCTGTGGCTATCAATCACAATCCTCTAGCATAAATGACCCCCTTTTCAAGAAACCCATTGTTGTCAAGGCAATTTCAAATCATACCAAACCAATAGGACAGAGAAGAATTGCCCACTAGGGTTTCCAAGGCTGTAAATCTTTTCTGAAGTAGACTGCCTCATCTTTCTCCCAGACAGTGACTGGTGGGTTGAAAATGCTGACCTTTCAGTTAGCAGTTGAACCCTTAACCACTGTACCACAAGGGCTCCTCTCTTTTTAAACACAGTCATTTAAGTCCCAATGGAATGTTTCTATATACTTGAGCTCATAAACCGTGAGCACAGAATATTCAAATAGAAGACCCTCAGCAGATAGAGGAAAAAGAGAAACAATCAAGTACCGAAGCTATTAGATGGCACTAATTCTAGGCAAAGTGCACAATATTCTCTTCTCTTTCTTTGCTTATGACCCCTGTTTTTAGGAAACAGTTCCTTAGATAGTACCCCTCAATTCAGAAGAAGTCAGTAAGTAATGTTAAGAGCTCCTTTAAATAGTGGTTTTGCCTCAGTTGGAAAATTTTCCCATACCTTGCTGCTATATTGTTTGGAGCAATGAGGACAACAGACAGGAGGGGTAGCTATTGTGCCAGTGAGCTGGGTGTGAGTACTCAGCATGGGGTCAGGTTCTCCAGGACCAGCAGGACGAAGTTTCCGAATGCTTGGTGGGAGCTCAGCGCCTGGGTGGTTCTTCAGAATATGTGCTTTACGCTTGCTGGCACTTTTATAAACCTGCAATTCAAATGCTTTGCCATGAAAGCAGTATACAGTTCCATTTTATTGTTTAAAGCAACCAAACTATTTTGTTACAAGGAAATGAGAAAAAGTATTCCTGAAGCTAAAACAGAACATATTAACAGATATATTAAGGATAATGAGGATAAAACATAAATTAGAATAAAGTAAGAACTAAAATGCTAGTCATCTTCTTTGAATTTATATAGCTAAGATAATCTATAACCTATTGTTATCAAGTCAATTCCAAATCACAGGACAGAGTAGATAGAATAGAGCAGAACTGCCCCAAGGGTTACAGACTGCCTCCTCTTTCTTCTGTGGAGTGGCTAATGGGTTCAAACTGCCAACCCTCTAGTTAGTAACCAAGCACTTAACCACTACACCACCAGGGCTCCTTACAGCTAAGATAGTAACTGTAAAAATTCCCTTTGTCCTAAAGTACCTTCTAAAAATTAAATGTTTATGTGCTTCCAAAGACTTCTCCAAAAGAGTCAAAAGAGAACCTACAGATTGGGAAAAAATATTTGGTAATAACATA